CTTCCCCCTTTGATGGCATACACTGGATGATGGCTAACGTTTTTGGTTTAGGGTTACGGGGGCTGCTATTGACCAGATCCCCCTTTGAATATTGCATAACAAATTGAAATAAAACCCACTCGAATGGGACTATCGATTATATTGAAATCCAAAATATAAAATTACATTCATCTTCATGGATCATTCAACAAATAGTATACATTGAAGCTGCACAAAGATGCGCTGGATTGGAGAAAGATACCCCAGGCCTCTTGGACATCGGTGTCCTTCAGAGAGCCACTGCGATATGTGCCTTCCAAGAAATCGTGTAGATTCATTGGGATTGTGGAACGAGATGAGGCTCTCAACTCGACCTACTTGCACTGGCAGTGTCTTTGGTGGCTCCGTCTGGCTAGGAGGCTCTGGCCTCCAGATCTAGAGACGGAATCTTCAACCATAGAACTTGCTTGGATTCCTCCAAAGCCAGGCAATAAATCACCCGTATAACATACGGCTATGCTATATTTCAGTATCCCAAAAAACTTCAAGTCTTCTTGGGTGCAGCCTTGGCGAAGAAAGAGCTCATTTTCTGCATCCCGCTCGTGTTGACCTTCTTCAGCTTCTTAACTGCATGGGATTCCGCAGCCTTAGCCTTTTTCTCTTCCTCTTCCTTGCGGCGCTTCTTCTCTTCCCGTGTATCCTCTTCCTCGTCATCAAGGGCTCGTTTCCGACTGAAGTTGGACATATCGCGTGACGCAAGAGCTTGAGCGCGAAGTTCGGCAATCTCCTTGAGACGGTCCTTGAGCGGCTTGAAATCGATCGGGCTTTCTGCAGAAGCGAGGATTTCATCGATTCTCGAGGCCATGGTTGCGGGCAGATATGACTCCTTCATGAAGGACAGTGCAGTAGAAATTCGGAGGAGCCGAGTGATATGATCAGGAACTGTCGAATCTTCGCTCGGTGGCTGTGGCACGGGTGTCGATTCCCCAGCAGGTGTTGTAACAGACGGGGTCGCAGTTGTACCCACAGTAGAGGGTGAATCCTGCCTCTCCTCGGATTTCGAGGCCAATTCTGGACTCTCGTTTGATGGCTCCTGGCTAGTCGCAACATCTTCTCGTTTGACCGCCATCAAGGGCGTGGCTAGCGCCTGACGAACAAAACGTTCTTCCAAACTCGCAGGAAGACCCCGATCCGCCATGCGTTCTGCCTTTGTGATCAATTCCCGAACAAGCTTCGTCTCATTGAACCGGAACATCTTCTCATCACCAGCCTCGACTACTTCACTGATAGCTTCCGCTCGTGCTAGAAGGGAGCTCCGGAATTCATCATCATAGAGGACTTGGCGCAGATGTTTGGGCATATCGTCCTGGGAATCGATTATATCGTCCAATGGCTGGAAAAGAGAACGGCCTGGTTTCGAAGAAGGTGCTAACAATGGAACCATGAAAAACATCGTATCGATCGGGGTTGCCACCAGGAACTCTGCTTTCTTCGTGATTGAGCCCTGTGCGGAGGGCTCGGTGTCTTTGTTCTCTTCTTCTGACGGGCTCGGGGCTTCGCGCCTGCGAGGGGTGAACAGGATACTCCGCGCCAGATCCGCCGGCGGTGCAACAACCGTAAATTCGTATATACCGCGACCCGGGCAGAAGAAATAGCGCGTTAGCTCTCCCGACTGGGGATCTGGCAGGGAGACGAGTCGCGCATTGTTACTGGTCCCGGATGGGAGGATGAACGTTTTGCTCGGTTTCTCTGCCGCAACGAGTGTTTTAGTCTTAGTTTGCTCTTCAGATTTCTTCGCCTTTGAAACTGGGGCTGATCGAGTCCTCATTGTGGGTGGATTGCAGTGAAGGTGAAGATCGGTGGAAACTGAAGGGGCTAAAATGGCGACGCGCCCAACGCGCCTTCCCGAGCCAGGCCCTGTGCGCGATCCGTCACTTTTCCTGCATTAGCGAAGTTTCAGCCCTTGTTTATTGTATCCCTGTTCTCTGTTCTATTGTTGACTATCGCTTCCACACTTTACTTTCCACTTTCTGCATACTTTACATTGCGCAAGGGAAAAGGGCGTGGGCCGCAACTAAATGCTCCATGGTACATTCGCTCTCTAATTACGTCTGAATCATCACATCCATCGCTAGTAAGGTCTTCTCTAGTCGCTTACGCTAATCCGTGACTAACTATTCTCCCCCACTAAAGTGGTTGAACCTGCGTGGCCGCCCCAATCGCCCCGCGCGGCTCTCTTGAGTTCGCCGGCCGGACGACGAAAGTACCAAGACATGCAACGCACCCGAGAGAATCTGACATCACCACTGAAGCGCTCAAGCACCGCACCCAATCTCCGATCAAAAGCGAGTCAAATTGTGGATGAAGATGAGGGGGAAGAGGAGGACGAAGAAACCCTGCAGCTTCAACTAGCCGAGATCAAAGCGCGCTTGAGATTGAAGAAACTCCAGCAAAAGAATCGCGGAAGGTCTAGTTCCAATCTCGACGACGAAGATGTGCGACCAAGTTCCGCAATCAGCGCCCTACGAACAGAAGACCGCGGTGCAACACCAAGAATCGCCAATGGAGCGAGGCAAAGAACGAGCAGTGATGGAATTCAGGTTCCGGCATCACCTACCAGGCGAGAAGTTGCCGTCCCCGACCCAATATCACCTCGGAGATATATCATGGGCATCGATAAGGGCTGGAAGGCCAGTGATGTATCCTTGAGACGACCTCCAAGCTCAAGACCCGACCCTCGACCAAGTAGTCATATGGGATTTCGTGACGGTGCTACACCGCGCTCGAATGACATGTTCGCCTCGCGGCCCCATACTTCTCCTTCATCAACCGGAGGGCTCAATCGCATAAAAAGTTTCAGCGAGAGAATGGCGGAAGGCAGGGCGGCAGAGAAGTCTCGGCTGGAGAGAGCAGAAAGGGTCCAGGCCAACCGCAGTTCGGCTTTTCAAGTCGACAAGTCGGAGCTGGAGGCCTTCAAAGCTGCAGCTACGGATACAAGCCATTCTCCCCCGCCATCTTCATCACGAGAGCGGCCCGTGGAAAGCTTCAGCCGTGAGGATATTCTTCGTTCTATGGGACAAACCCGCCCACCCGGTCTACAACGCAGTAATACAACCCCGAACGTTCGACGAATTGAGGGTAGTCACAACGAGAGACCATCTCATCTACATAGACGAACTCATACGGCAGAAGAAGAACCGAGTTCGTCACACAAACTAGGCCAAATAGATGATGCTTTGGTGAAGCCACCGGATTCATCAAAATTCGAGTCCTACTCGTCACTGCATCTATCGAGTCGAGTTCTTCCCCATTCTTTCTTGGGTCGCACACTGGCAGACAAGAAAGTGCTGCGCATTCCTGATCTACTCAAAACCGTCAAGGCACCCACATTCGAGCTCCCAGAGGAAATCGAAGGGGACTTTGTGGTATTTGGCATCGTTGCGTCCAAGTCCGAACCCAGGGATAAGAAAGCTTCGGGGAATGCGTCGATGAAAGAACAGGACCCTTATAACGATGGGCTTAATAACACAAACAGATATATGGCCATTACCCTGACCGATCTGAAATGGACTATTGACCTCTTCCTTTTTGACACTGCTTTCCCCCGCTATTACAAAATCTCGGAAGGAACTCTCGTCGCAATTCTAAACCCCACAATCATGCCTCCCCCAAAGCACAAGCTAGACACAAACCGATTTAGCCTGTCCCTATCCTCATCAGATGACAAGGTCCTCGAAATTGGCAAGGCACGGGATATCGGGTTCTGCAAGGCTGTGAGAAAAGACGGAAAGACCTGCCAATCCTGGATAGATGGTCGAAAGACCGAATTCTGTGACTTCCACGTTGATATTCAGATTCGACGCACTCAGGGCCAACGATCGGGAGTTAATGCTGACACCGGTATGCTTGGTCCTGGTGGTAAATCCGGCTCGCGCACCGGATTGTTTGGGGCAGGAGCGAAGCGAGGAGGTACTTACAAGCAAGGCATGAAACACGATGGTCCTCAGTATGACATGGGATCCCAATCGCTCTACTATGTAGCGCCCTCCAGAAATCGCGGTGGCGGCCGTTCGTCCTACAACCCCATGGGAGGTTCGGCGGCAAACCTGATTGATGCGCATGACGACCCCTTCATCGCCTCAGGTATGATGGGTCGTGGTTCGGACAGCAAGGAGGAACGAATGCGCAGGCGTCTCGCGACCCAACAACGAGAGCGTGACATCACCCAAAAGCTAATTACCGGTCGTGTTGGTGGCGTGGGTGCCGAGTACCTTCGCACAAGGACCAGCAACGAGAGTCCAAACAAAGAAAAAGTAGCAGGAACCCCCTTGCCCAAGAGCCCTACCACGACCAACGGCATGGATATGACCACCTTTGGTAAAGCAAAGAACGTCCGTTTAAGCCCAATGAAGCGTGCCCATGACAAGCCCCACGGCAGTGGGGTCAAGAAGACGCGGTTCATCACTTCAAGGGGTATCAGGGAGGCTGGTCGGGAGAGCCTAGGTGCGCCAGCTGAGAACACGCCCAGTCGGAGACAGATACTCTTGGATGATGATGACGATGATGACCTGGAGTTCATTTGATCAACCCCGTCATCACTTCAATCCTCGAGTCCCCTTAATACCCATAACGCTATAACGAATACAAAGCATGTCCCGGTTTGCATTGGGCGGATTTCCTTTTTGTTGGACTTGTTGAGTAGAGTTAGACACAACCCTTGCCATGAAATAATGTAATGACTAATGTATTTGTATCTTCATTAAGCCTACTATAATGCTTTCCTCTCCTTTTCTACATGTGCTAGTAGTTTATGTATGGATTTATTTGTATCAGTGTTTAGCCCGGCTACTACCGAAAGCTTGTTTTGACTAATGCTCTCTACTAGGCTCTCTACTAGCAGGGAGACAACAAAACTACATACTTCTTCAACAGAGATGTGAGCCTTTGTACCGACTTAATACCAGCTATAGGGAAGACTATTCCAAATATCTAAAATTTCAATTGAGCAGTACCGCTTTACCATGATTCCTCCCGTGATGACCAACAAACCGCTTCCCGCGATGAATAAAACAACAAAACACGCCGGTACCAAAAAGAACCAAGAAGAAAGAACCAAGAACGTGGATGAAAAGACAAGAGAAAACGCCGCTATTCCAGCCGAAGATGTTTGCATGAGGTATCCTAGTATTCGCAATTTCCAAACCCACGCATGCCATTGGAACAAGAAACGCAAAAAAATAAAATCGAGAAACCCCAGCGACCTGCGCAATTACAAGACGGCCGTCTTGGGGAGAAAGAAGGGCATTAAGAGAAGAAAGAAAAACAAAACATACAAAGGGATGCGATGCGCATATGGGTGCAAGAGACAAAAGATTGACGCACTGAGTGCTAAGTCTGGCGCAACGCACAAATGAGAGAAAGAGGAAGATTTAAAAGCGCTGGAATAATGCGAAGTGGAAGGGAGGAAATGTGATGCCCAAGTGAGACCTAGGAATCGGATGTAGATGGCTTAGCGGTCGAAGTCTCTCCAGAGGCTTCTGCGCGCTGGGTCTGTCGAGTGCGTGGGGCAGGACTACCGCGGGCCTCGCGGAGGCGCTTCACACGGTCGGTGCGGGCGTCGACTTCCCGCGTCTTCCTGCTGACAGACGGCCAGTACTTCAAGAGACTGCTGCCACTACTAGTTGAGAGACCTCGGGACCGAGTCTGATCATCGGTGGGAGTGCCGAAACCAAGGTCCTCGGAGAAAGAAGCGGGCTGGAACGGTGACACATCGCCCACGGTAGAGCGAGTGAAACGGAGACCAGTACGTCCAACAGGTGCAGAACGAGTGACAGATGAGTCCTCAGAGTTAAAGGAGGGAGTTGGATCAGGGATATCAGGAGTCAGATCCTGGTCTGCATAAGCCGGAGTTGGAGACAGTGGCTCGTGATCTTCGTGATCTTCGTGATCCTCGACATCGGTGACATCCTCCTCTTCCTCACCGGCGGTAGGTTTAACGGGGGTAGGGAATAATAGGCGAGGTTTGATGTCGCCGCGTCTCAAAGGCTTTACGCTTTTGAGAATATCAGGACTATCGGCCAACAGGTCGGGGCGGTTAGCGAAAAGACCAAGGTCATCATCATCCTCGCCTTCATCTTCCATGTCATCAAAGCGCTTGAATATTTTCTTTCCGCGGCTAATATATAAATTAGAATATGTTGGAATGATGGGTAGGTGGAGCTTGACTTACTGGACAAAATAGGCTCCATCATGGGGGCTAGTGGTCGAGCGAGTGGCAGGTCGTCCAACAGCTCTTGCAGGCTTGGAAACGAATGAATCAGTCGAAAGGGGACCGATCGCCGGGATACGATCACGTGAGTCCTCATGAATAGAGATACCCAATTCTTGCTCTGCAGCTTGGATAGTGTACCCTACTAAAGGCTCATCGACGAAGATTGCTGGGGGGTCTGCGGCGGAATATTTGGGGGTATCCATTTTTCTGCGCTTGAGGGTTGAAGTGGAAGGAAAGAGAGAACGAGAGGTAGAAGAATCAGAACTGATTACTTTCTTTTTTGAAGGAGTTTTTGCTGGGGTAGGTAAAGCCTGCTCAGCAGAGGATCGGGAGGTGTGGTGTGAAGAAGAGCGGGGAAGTGAATGTTCCAAATCAAATGGGGAAATTCGGGGGGCAGCAGTTCTGTGAGAACGTGCAACCTTTTTGGGCGAGGGTTTGACGGTGCCAGGCGAAGAGGGCGAAAGGGTTCTTTTAGATGCTCCCGGTTTGGATGCGCTTGGGTGACTTGGGGGTGGTGTGGTTTGATCAACCCTTGACGCTCGTTGACCTGCAAGTCTAGCAGAGTAACGTGTAGGGTAAGGTTCGTAGTTGTCGTGCTTTGCCCCATGTCGCGGCGCTCTGGGTACACGAAGCTCAGACGGTGATGGCGGAGGTGGTGTTGACGCCATGTTGACTTGAATGCCGATTGAACAACCGCTCGATGATTTGCGATCTTTTGAGTAAATAAGTAAATAATACTAGTCACAGTCTATTCCTGGGGGTTTTTTTTGGATTTCGTGATCTTGAAGTATCGAGGAGGAGCGTGGATTCAATCAAGGGCGTGAAACGTCCAACTCGTGAGACGTCCGACCAAAATGAGGGAAGCGCTCGGAGATAAAAAAATCCCAAAAAAAGATATTAAAGGTAAGTATGCAGGTATCCAATTGTCCGAGGCGACAAGAACAAAAAGCGATAAGTTGGGGATGAAGGAAGGGCGAAGGTTGTTTGTCAAAGGCGATAATCACCCAGCCACCGGATATCCTCACCGCCCGATAATTGCGGTGGCTGAAAACCCCGCGTCAACAATGTTCGATCTACCCCAATTCCCTTGATTATACCGTCGATCTTGTCAGCTGTCAATTGACCTTCAAGCACTTTATACAATTAATCTCAGACTAAACCCGTTTGGGTGTTCAGTCTATCAAGATTGTTTGTACATCGGCTCCTACTCCGCGCAAATTCAACACCATGACGTTCCGCACCACAGCAGAAGAAATGGAGAGGCTTCAACTATCCGATGATGACACAGAGGACATCTGGAACTCCCCATCTAGGAGAGCGATCCATAAAAAGATCAACCCAAGAACCTCCGACGAGAAAACTGCACCAGAACCTCGAGCTTCCGATGATGGCGATGATCCTCTCGTAGATCACCAGGCAGCCCGAGAGGCTGCCCTCCGGACAGAGTTACAAGGCGTGCGGAATATTAACGAAGTCATAGAAGGACTTCTGAGAAGTTTAGACTCCGCCAAGGGAAACATGGAGGTAATTTATGGTTCTCATATTGCATAGTCAACATTTTGGCTAATAATCTGTATAGACAGTCTCACAAACTGTTACATCGGCCTCAACGCTTCTCAACACGTGGACTCGCATTCTCTCCCAAACTGAGCATAATCAGCGATTGATCCTCAACCCCAATTGGCAAGGCGCTACCCAGGACTTGGTCGATATCGAGAACCAAGCGATTCAAAGACAGCAAGCGGCAGAAAGACGCGAACAGGCACTTCAGCAACAAAGAGAGGCAGCGGCGCGAAAAGCCGAGGAAATTGAAAAGCGACGCGCGCAGGTCACTCGGGGTACCCGAGGCACCACCCGCGGAACTACGAGGGGGACGGTTCGAAGCACTGGCTTAGGAAGAACGCCCAGTGTTAGCACGACCCGCACGGCAACACGAGGATCTACGACAACAACCCAACGGCCGGCCAGCGGGATAGCACGAGGGAGTGGAATTTCTCGCGGTCGGGGGAGGATCTAGATTGAGGATAGAATTTATGTACAATAAATCTTTGACTGAAGAAACAGAATGATATGATACCCTTACTTTGATATATTGTCGCCTGAGGCATCAGTATGGGCAGTTACGCGTCGCGATCTGATAAGGATAAGGAGTTACCCCAAATTATTCCCCTGTCCCCGAAAATCATTCCGTCATTCACCTTTCCAGGTACAACATAATGAACTTTGCACCGTATCAAGATCAATCACCGGAGCTTGAGCGCGCCCTATCCCCTCCCCACCTAGATAGTCACCGGATTTCCCCAATCCTCCGCTCACCGCGGGCCTCGGCCGATCTACCCTCCCCCAGTTACTTTGCTGGCGGCGGGCATGGAAACATAGGATCTGGGCGAGATGTCGAGAGTGGCCATGTGAGCCTAGGGGCTTTTGAAACAAGTCTTCCCATTCGCATGGATGTCGAAGCAGCGCTGGCGTATCTGCTTCTGCCTCCCGCGGGGGGTGTATTCCTGCTACTAGCTGAACACAAGAGCGACTATGTGCGGTATGTCATAGGCCTTGGATTAATTTAGGATTACTTAAAAGCCAGTCTGCTAACTATTTACTATAGATTTCATGCTTGGCAATCGAGCATGCTATTTGCTACCATGTTTGTGAGTATTCCATGTTTCCTTGTGTCGCATACGCTTACATGCCAAACATAGATAATCCACCTACTGTTCTGCTGGTCGAGCTTTCTCTCCTGGACATTGTTTATTATCGATATTGCTTTAATCGGCTTCCTCAGCATGCATGCTTACCAAGATGGTGAGTCTTCCAAGGTTTCTCCGCGGGAGCTGCCAATACGGCTGAGCTATTTATTAGCCAAAAAGATAGATCTGATACTAATCGCATGATCTCTAGTTGATACTTTGGACCACTTCGAGGTCCCATTTTTTGGCCATCTGGCTAACTCCTTTGTTGATGATGAATGAACGGAACTTTGTCTTTGAGAATTGCACATACTTGAATTATTACTGCGAAGCATGTCTTTTCTTCATATACCCCTGTCTATCAATACTTACTGGCTTCCTTCTTTGATTATTGGACAGGATATGCGTGGATTCTGTGAATGATTCTCTTCATGTTTGGCTTTCCAGCGTTGTATATCTTATAAATTCTCAACACCGAATCATTTTATCCAGCTGCAGCCAATATGTGAAAGATTCTAGTGGTAGCTAAATAAGTACATCGTCATTAGAGAGTGGCAAGGAAACCTGGGGAGGTTTGGGTTATGGTCTCTCTATATAAAGCCAAAGCTTAATCGTGCATCTTAGGGTTTGACGAGGATAAGTGTGTACTCAGCTACGGTTTGTCGTCCGTATGGCCCATAGATCTTTGTGTATTGTAGGTATCTGTGGTCTTACCACAATTCGTGATGCTGTTGGTTTTGTCGCTCCTCCAAACTCGGCTTTTGGAGCTGGACAATAAAATCGAGTCCACAATGTCCTTGCGCGCTACTTACGCCATTTAAGCGCAATATTTGTCGGCAAACCAGCTGAATCTATCTAGCATTGGAACTCCTCCAGACATTAACAAACCGAAAGCCCACATCATTTCATCGCATGTAGCTTTGCGGTTTTGGTGGCATTTCTATCCCAATTAAAGATAATGACTGGTATATTCTTGACACTGTTTTCAAAAGTAAGCTAGATATCTAGCATTTTCGTCTCTATGGGGCTACGTGCACAAGATCTAACGTAAAGAAAATGAGAAAAATGATGATAGGGGGCATAAAGATATTGATTAACTAGTATCATCCACAGTATATCCAAATGATCTGAGAGAGGCGAGCTAGCACCTCCATTACTGTGTGGCATTTGCGTATGGGGAATAGGAGACCGTCTTGGCGGAATCTTGGGGATTGTGGTAGAAGTTGAAAAAGGTGTGATACATGATGGTCGTCATAATTATCTTCGGTCCTTTCGGGTGACGGAGGTTCGGTGACATCCAAGTTCAGACCAATCAGGAAGTCGATATTCACTTCTCGGCATTAAAGAAAACAACCTGCACGGTGATATCATCCCGTACCCGTCGAGAAAAAGGAGGGCCAAAGGCAAGCCGGCCTGCGATCAACTCATGATGACTTCCACCAAGGGAGTTGCGCACCAGATGAACTGCAGCATTATCATCTTGGGTTGTTGTTCTCTCCTCCACAAACTTCCAGTCCACATCGTCCCAGAATCTGCCATAGTCAAAACGTCGATCTGTTGACTCTGGTTCGGTCTTTTCTCTCCCAGGTCTCTTGTGGTTCCAACCAGTTCCCTACCAAGTCGACACCCTGCTTACTGGACAGATAATCCCACAGCCCATCGGTTGCGAGAATCAAGAACGAGGGTTTAGTAGGGTCGATCTTGGTGCTTGTCACAACCGGCTCGGCAGTCAAGTATGGGGGTGTACGAACATTGTACCGTGGCGTTAGGGGAGCTGGACCATTGAATTTCCGTTTCATTTCCTTCTGGAATTCTAGAGGCCACTTCCATAGACTGTCACCAAATGCTCGTGAGACCATGAGTCCAAGCACTCGTCCATCTTTGGATATGTTTTCCTCGCCAGGATGCTCCTTGGAAATACGGGTGGTCTCTTCTTCATTGCTGCCAGTTTGGTCTACCGACAAGGGAATCACTTCCCACTTGCCATCTGATCCTTTTTGTCCCAAAACCGCTCTTGAGTCACCAGTACAAGCAACGTGCAGCGTGCTTGTGGTAGGATTGTACAGAGATAACAAAGCACATGAACCAGCGTAAGCAGGAGCCAGTCTCTTAACCTTGTCTTGAAAGGATTCTTTGCTCTTAGATGTATCCTGTGCAGTCTTGATGATCGAATCGTCAAGTTCCACGAATCCTTTCATGATAGCGCCCTGGACCGACTCATTTGGCACCGGCTCGTTTGAAAGTGGTTTAATTTCGGCCAATCTGCGTCGCACGAAAGGAAGGAGTTGCTTTGTCAACAGTTCTGCTGTCTGCCAGCCCGAATGTCCGTCAAAAACAGCCCAGGACATCCATTGATCATTCTCATTCCACGGCGAGGAAAGTTTGCCATGGATAAACCGGTCCTCGCACGGGCTATTGGACGCCAATTGAACGCCATCATATCTTTTGACGCCCGCAATATCTCTCACCTGGAAGGAGTATGCTTCTTTCGATAATATTTGTGTCACATCCTCTCTGGACGGGCCCGGCTCAAGGGCCAAGTGCTCGACCGGTGGATTTTCGAGGCGGGGCACATCATCACTTGTAGTAGTCAACCACCACAGGCCGGGCGTGCTGATCAAACCAGCAGTTGCAATATAGATTTTTGAATTTGAAGTAAAGCTCTTCATTGAGAAGGAACGTTTAGTGTGTGTCCGTACGATGGAGGTGGTCACGCGCCCTATACGCGGTCGGGCGAGACATGATAACATGGTGGCTTGTAGCTGGAGAGAAAGAGAAGCAAGTACACATTGAGGTCAGTTGAAGATTGCCCCCAGGTTTCGTCAAGGCGGTAAGATCACGAGACTCCTTGCTGTACTCGGACAATGGAAAGGGGTAAAGAGAGAGCTGGGCAGTCCTATTTGAAATAACTAGTCGCAAGCCCCTCAGCCAATATATTCATTAGCTAAAGACTATCGAGAACTCCCATATTTTGTATAAAAAAATGGATATACACCAGTTGAAACTAGTGCGGGACTTGAAGATATATAGAAAAGGCATTAGCACTGAAATAATCCATTCTTTACACTTGAAAAATTGAAAATAAATCTCCTAAAAATATCCAGAATATGGGTTGCATATTTTTTTTTCCCTTTCTCACTGCGCAATACCAGACATGATATGATCTATATATTTTCAGCGTATAGCGTCCTGACTACACAGTATCCGAGCAAGGGAAGGTTTCTGAGACAGACTGATGATAACTCGGTACCATGCAACGCAATGAGATGAAGTATGGTATTCGATATACCCATAGGCGAGCTACTAATAATTTCTTTAGACATTAGAATATCAGATGATCCAGCGAATTGATGTCCAGGCAATCATACCTTATATGATATTATCAAGAGTCTCAGGCTAATCTTATGGCCGATTAGTATGAGTATTAACCGCAGCAAATGGTTCACTCTGTCTCGGAAACCTTCTCTTACTCTGATACATTCAATATGCAGTAGGTATATCACAATCTAAGCTATATCAACGACTTGAGAATATTAGCTGACAGAAACTAGATTCATGCCCAGATCAGGTTACCTCCCCAGTGTGGCGGAAATGAAAACTTGAGACGCCCTTTGTTAGTCTGCACTGACACTGGAAGCAACGTGCTTAGTGTGTTCATGTCAGACATCCTGGCCCTTCAGTTTGACATGGTACTCCACGGTTCAATTGTACGAGGCACATCGCGAATCAATACCGCCAATAGCCCAATTCATCAACCTCTAATATTTATCGAGATGCAAATTTTAACGTCGTCCTTTGTTGCACTTTCTCCCTGGTTCCAAGAGATCACCATTGTGAAGCCAGATAGTTGGGGAGATGCACGCCTCTCAGGGGCGGCTATGCGTAACCATCTGTTCTTTGCCACTCCGCCTGGAAATGCCCATTTGTACGTTGCGCAGAAGAAAACTAGAATTATCCGAGATATGCCCGCTTGAGTTCTTTCTTTTTGTCTCTCGCCTAGCAGAACACATATCTATAAAGACAACTAGTGTCTGCAACTCGATTCAAGCTACACGGTCGTGAGCTGCCTATTTCTTACATATAACATGGGAGATATATTGGAGAAAGGAGAGCATCAATTAGACCAACACGTCGTATCCCGCATAACAATTGAATGGGTGTCCAAAGAAGGAGGAATAAGAAAACGAAAAGACCATAAAGTTAAAGTCTTCATGGCCCGAGATTGCTCATACAATTTCGTTCGAACAGATCTCTGTCGAGAGAAGGAGAAAGACAAGAAAAAAGAAATTCCAACAAATTCACACAAAACACATAGTAAAAGGATCCCCAGAACACACACGCTAAAGTTCCAAAAACATCCGCAAGAACAGAATAATAAGATTAAACAGGCTGTTCGATGATGTAATGACGGGACTGTAGCACCATGCTGAGAATGATAGAAAAATAGAAGTAGGGTTAGAACGAGATCGTCAATGTGCAAAGAAAGTAGACGAAAGGCATGGTATCTACGTGAGAACATGAAGAGAATCATTGTCAGGATGAAGGTTGCAAGGGTCGTGGCGGGTCGTGATATCGATGGGGTATTAGATGATTTGCAGATAGTTGCTTGGAACGAGACCAGGGTGGCCACGGGCATTGGTGACCTCGGCTTCCCACCACCCGTCATCCTGCAGGCGGATAACGGCAAGGACATCGCCCTTGCCAAAGCTGAGCTCTTCAGGGATGGCAGCATTGTAGGTGTACATAGCACGAGCTGTGAGATTGAAATTAAGTTAGATACTAGCAAACCCATGGTCAAGAGGAGAAATAAACGCTTACCAAAGTGCAAGATCGGACGGCCATCACGGCTGAATTTGCGTCCAGGTTCTGCAACAGCCATAGTACGGCTCCGGGATCGGCCAATAGGCGGACCGTCACCGTAAGTCGACGAGGGGCGACTGCTTCCCCGAGCCGAGCTGGCATATCCGCCGGGACTGCTGGAACCGTACATATCGTGGCTTCCAGATAACTGCAGCTCCATGCCACCGGAACTAGAAGGACGAGCTTGCTGCCTGAACTGAGGCTGTGGGGATACAGCACGGTGACTCATAGCGGGCGATGCCCTCCGAGCAAAATCGTTTGGAGAGTAGGGTGGATCTTGAGTACGACGGGGAGTGGGCGATTGGCTGTACTGACTTCGCATGCTGTTAGACTGGTAGCTGCTCGGACTGGGGCTCGGGCCCCTGCCACTGTTCTGGCTCATCCGAGTATCCACACGGGGAGAAGCAACCTGAGGGCTGACGCTGCGTCTTGGTGCTGGTGCTGGGGATCTAGCCCGGGGGGCTTCTTGAGTTTGACCGCCATGTCTAGACCCCATGCTGCTGTTTTGTCCTCGAAGCATGCTCTGAGTTTGACCAGTGTACTTCTGAGTTGTCTTGTGCATTTGCTTTGCCGTGAAGGCTGGCTGAGGTGCGCCGAGTCGCTTGGCTGCGGGATCATTGTATGCAGGTGGCGGAGCAGCAACGCTAACATTACTGCCACCGTAAGTAGAAGATTGTGCTGACGGAGTAGGCGTGGAGATGCCATGATATCTATCTGCCGAGACCCGAGTGGCTGACTGCTTCCCGCTTGTCTTGAGGTCCGCCAGAGCCCGCGCGATAGGGTCCAAGTCATCTTCAGACGCCTGGTTTGGCTGTGATCCTTTGTTGGGTGAGCTCTTTTCTGGGGATGCAACGTCAAAAACATTGTTGCCGACATTGAGTTGGAAGTTGGCTCGAGGATCAACAGGCTCCGGGCTGCCAGAAACACGAGCTGGAGGGCCCGCTGGAGGGGCTGCTGGGGGCCTAACTGGGCTGACTTGTTTGACTGGGCTAGCCTGCTTGGGTGGACTAACTTGCTTGGGCGGGCTTATTTGCTTAGGCGGACTGACAACTTGTTTGGGTGGGCTCACTTGCTTAGGAGGGCTCATTTGCTTCGTCGGACTGATCTGCTTTGTCGGCGAGTCCCAACCACCACGAGACACGGGCTGGGACGAAACAACCGCCTGTGGAGAGGTGACCTGTTGTGTAGAAATGATAGGCCTTTCTTTATCATGACGACTCTTGCGACGGAAGGGGCTGTTGCTAAAGAAAGCGCTCTTCTTTTTCGGTGATTTGTCATCTCCAGAAATTGGCATTGGCGCACCGGTGGTTGGCTTTACGACAGATTTCTTTGTAGGTGTTTCCTCAACACTAGAAATAGAGGTTGGGTTCGAGACTTCGCTCTGAGAGTCACGGCTAGATGGGCGATACGCGCTGGTCGCCGAGCTTCGCTCTGAGGGTGGTCCGGCACGACAGAACATGGTCATACCATCTGTGGGATATGCGTTGTGGGGAACAGCACCAATCTCTCCATGCTGCTCGGGGTCATAGTTCGGAGGCGGCGCACCGCCACGGCGGAAGTCTAGAGGCGCAGGTTGCTGAGGTTGTGGCTGTAGTGGTGGTTGCTGTTGCATAAATGGCTGCTGCTGTAATGGTGGCGGTTGCTGTTGCAGGACAGGCTGCTGCTGCATAAATGGCTGCTGCTGCAAGGGTGGAGGTTGTTGTTGTTGTTGTTGTTGTTGTTGTTGCATGAGAGGCTGCTGTTGCATGAGAGGCTGAGGTTGCATGAATGGCTGCTGCTGCTGTGATGGTGGCGGTTGCTGTTTCTGAGGCGGCGGTGCATTGTTAACTGCAGGAGCAGGATGTCCCATCTGAGCCGCGAGCTCCGACTGTGGGTCATGGTGTGAGTCGAATGTTGAGGGTTGCGGAGAAGATGTTCGGAATGCAGGATTCATGGTGCGCTGGAACTGGGCTACCGAGTAGCCTTCGGCTTCATCTATCTCAGAGCTTGAGTCCTCATCCTTGCAAAAGTTGATGAATCGGGGGGGGTCCGGGATCTCCTGGCCAGTTCCTCGGTCCTTGATAAAGGCAATAATATCCTTCTCCACTTCGCAGTTCTCCAGAGAGAGACGGACCTTTTCGCATGACTATATGTCGAGTTAGCATTGCAAATCAAGCCCGGACAGAACAAACATACGGCATCGTCGCTAACACAAACAGTTGAAGCAATGTTCGCGTAGGTCCACAAACTGCTCTTTGTGAAGTCCAGACGCTCCTCTTCCAAATCTTGAAATTTGTCACATGCTGACTTCCATTCCTTATTCCAGCGTCCGGTTGTCTCCTCGAGTTGTTTGACGGCCGCTTCGTATTCCTGGCTATTTGATGCCAGCTGGATCTGGGTCTTCTCCAGCTTGGCCTTATTCTTGCGCTCTTCCTGGCCCATGACCATGTGGCCCTGCGCGAGGTATCCTTTGATGCGGAGACAGTCCTGCTCGTAACGATCACGCGTCTGTAGAATTTAGTATTTTACCTCCCATCGCTCTACACAAAGTACTCACCTTGTTGACAAGCTGTGTCTGTTGCATTTTGGTCTTGTGTAAGCGCTCAATGCACTGTTGAATGATCTTTCGTCGCTCCTTAATACCACTCGCAAACGCAGCAAGTGGTTCCTCCAATTCGGTCTTCATTTGTCCCGCTATCGCTGAATGTGCCTTAGCGATCGCTTCAGTCTCACCGCGAACCACGTCGAGTGAGGCTCGGAGCGAACCTGCCTCACATGATCCCAGGCTCTTGCGACACAGAGCCTGGAGTTTGCGCGCGTATTCATCTTCGATAGAGGCTCGAACTAAAAAGTTGTTAGAATTTAATGTTACCATGGCCACATGCATGTCACGTACTGCTGTAGAAAACCTTCAATTCGTCGTTGGTGATCTTTGAACCATGCACACGGTCCAACATTGGTTGAAGTCCTGCATCATCTTTGCCCCAAAAATTGTTGGCAACTAGAATAATCGTCAGCAAGTACAAAAATATATTAGTGTTGTACCACATACAAGACATGGAGACCGTAGGTCCGTCTGCCACTGTCCCCGGCATTGTTATCGATATTGAGCCTCGGCCAGCCTTTGCGCATGCGATCGAAGTGTGTTGAAATCACAGGTACAAAGAAAAAGAAATAAGAACGATAACACTGTTGAAGAATAAAAAATAATGAAACACAAAAGACCCTTAGAGGTCACAAGATGTTGAAGTTGAAGGTGAGCGGAGGGATGGTGTTTACGGGCGCGTCTCTCGGGGCAACCACCGCGTGGCCATACACGTTACATAAGCTATTTATGCATCTGCCCTAACCAAGGTAGTGGGAAATATTTTTGAATGATTCTTGATCGGAGAATTGTATTATCGGAAATATTGTGATAAAATATTCATTTCAATCTCGGTGCATTGTGCAACCTTTCTATGTAATTCGGGGACCCATCAAATAATCAAATCCAGTCTATGTAGGCCAAGCCAACGTGAAAACCCAATCCCATATCCACAAGTAGAAGACACATGAAGAATTGTAGTTTCAAAATCACTTCCAGTAAAAACGCCAGTCAAATATGCATCCCCAAAACCATAATGGGGATAAATCAAGTCATTCGTAATATCTTTCTTTTTCGTTGTTGCAATCATATCGTGCCATAAATCAAGCATTTCATCAGTTCATGGAAAGCTTTCCTCGTGCTTCTTTGGGGGAACCTAAATCTATTGTCTCATATCTTCTGTCTTAGTAGGCCACAGGAGTAGCCGACGGAGCGAATGTGCTGGAGACAGGCGAAGAGACACTGGAAGAGCCCCAGCTGCGGACACCACGGGCCACAAGAGCCGAAGAGGCAGAAGATGTGGCGACAGTGGAAGCACCGGGGGCGGAAGAGTACCAGCCGTAGGGGCCGCGGGCAGCTAGAGGAGCAGCTGAAGTAGTGACGCTCGAACTGGAGGGAGTGCCGGAAGGAGAAGCGTACAAGTCGCGAGCCACAAGGTGAGTCGCCGAGGCAGAGGGGGTGGCAGAAGAGGAGTACCAACCACGAGCCACGAGGGAAGTAGCCGAGGCAGATGGAGTGGCAGCAGAAGAGTACCAACCACGAGGCACGAGGGAAGTAGCCGAGGCAGATGGAGTGGCAGAAGAAGAGTACCAACCACGAGCGACGAGGTTAGCGGAAGTAGGGGAAGCGCTCAGGCTGGAAGAAGGAGTCGAGGCCGAAGCGGAAGAGGACCAATCACCGAAGCTACGAGCCACAAGAGCAGTAGACGAAGCGATAGGGGTGGCAGCAGAAGGAGTACCAGAAGCAGCAGAGTACCAGCCACGAGCATAGAGAGACTCAGAGGCAGCTGCAGTGGGATAGGCAGAAGAGGAGCTAGAATACTCGCGAGCAAAGAGAGCAGGCTGACCAACGGCTCTCAGGCCCCGGCGGAAGAAAGAAACAGAACCGGGAGCGGGAGTTTCAGAGCAAGGAGTAGAGCTAGCCACAGGAGTCGAGGAGTAGGCGCTTGAAGGAGTGGCAGTCACAGTCACAGTGATGGCAACCGGCTCGGCACCAGGAGCAGTGACTGTGGAGACTTCGAAGACAGTATCGACTTCACGTGCAACTGAGCTGGAAGAGGAGTCTCCATCAGCATTAACCACGGAGTAGGCTGCGCGGCGAGCAAGGTCTTCGTTCTCGGGGTTGGCGAAGGGCGCCGCATGGCTCACGCTGATAGAGCAAAGGGCGAAGAGTGCAGCAGAAGAGAAATGCATGATAATGAGGGGCAATTGAAGCTTGCAATGGTAATTGAAAAGAAGAAGACGCTTAAAACAGATCGAAAATGTAAACAAAGCAATCTAGATATGGGTGATGATGGGAGAGAGGCTTTGATTGAAAATGGATAATTGATAATGAATGAGAAGAAAAGGATTCAAGTCGAGTTTAAAAGTCATATGAAAAAGATCTACTATCACAGTGAAGTGTATTCCTATTGAACAGAAAATAGGCGGCTGGGATCTACGGTGGCTGGGTTAGCTGCAGTCCAGCCCTTTTTGTTTTTAATTTATATTGTACAAGAATAGTCGGCATTACGTAGTCTTTTTATTAGTCTCTCAGTTATTCTTTTAAATATCACTTTTTTACATACATTTTTTTCCCTTCTCTATTTTCTAGATAGAAGGCAAACAACGGAAAAAAAAGCATCAACTATGCAGACAAGTGCTCGATGTATAACCTGGGATTTGATTGGTTTCCATTTTGATTGGGTGGAGCTAAATCTAAGTATACCCACATGGCGCATCTGCCAACCACGATGTTGTGGTGGGTCTCCATGGCGACATTAAGTAAGCAATTGGTGTGGCTGGGGGCTCCTAAGGGTCCACTCTGACACAGCTGATATAGCACATTTCATTTCACAGAGGCCTAGTTTCTTTTCATAGATCAACTATGATGTCCTAATGACCATAATCGATAGGACGATCCAGGCAGATCTCCTGTTTCATCAACACAGCCATGATTGCCGCGTTGACACTATACGGCAAGATCTTCCACTCTCACCAATCCACACCCCAACGCAGCGCTGGCCCAGGCTGCACAGGGGCGGTTGGGGTTCCACCCGAGGGCTGTGACGTGGGTGTTTTCTTCGTAAATGGTCGAGGTCCCCATACCACTGACAGGGTTGGTCTCATACAGCTTGTGCGTTGCCAGCTTCTGGTTCTCTGCCCGGTATCCGTCATAGAATCGACTGGTGCCCACAGTGTCTGTCTTGGAGGTGGGAATCCATTCATGTGTAAACCATATCTGCTGCCATATCTGCTCTTTGTTGTAAACAACTCGTCGGAAGGGATTCGTTCCTACGACTTCGCCTGCGGCACTGCCAAACAGGGCACAGGGGTGGTAATGACTGCATTGCGCCATGGCCGAGACGGTGCTGCTGAGCCGCGCAATGGTGGTGGTGGTAAAAAACCGTCGAATTGGAATGATGCGAGCGAATTCGTTTTCATCCCCGCCAACAACGGACTGGCAGATGGGAGAATAACTGATGTGGGGAGAGGCCCCTCGCATGCGGCCCGTTGAGGTCATTTCCCTGGTCGGATCGAGGGCCGACCACATCCTTGTTTCACCATCCATAGAAACAGTGATGATTAGTTGGGGATGGACCGGGTATGCCGATGTGATATTGAGTATATACGTGGCGTGGATTGGCTGATAGAAGTAAGGCAGAGGTTCAGATGCAGAGGAAGGTGCGATATTCCAGACTGCCACAAAGCCATTACCGCAGCCCACTGCAAGATCACTAGGGGATAGCCATGTGACACATGTGCAGACTGTTGATGGCGGTCTTGCCTCAAACGCAGGCGATTTGACTTTGACTATCTCGTGCACATTAGCGGGGCTCGTGAAAATCTCTGAAAAGGGACACCCACGGAATTCTGTTTCTTGTGACCCTCTACCTGTTTTGATATCCAGAACTCTGACATTTCCATCGCCCCATACTGTTGCGAGTAGACCGATGGATGCTTTTTCTTCTTCGTCCTCCGCTCGTTCGGCCTGGGGTAAAGTACACCATACCATTCGTCTCAGGTCCCCCCAATCAGCACACAAGACTTGTCGAAGCCGGGGTTTGAAGGTCATATCGAGAGTCATTGTAGGTGTCTCACTCGGTTTGGCTTTGAACTCCCAAATCTGCAGAGCACTAGGGAAAGGGTCTGAGGGTTGAAACGATGAAATGGGCTCATTTTCCTCTGATCTGTACTGGTTTTTCTGGTCTTCTGTAATCGGCGCGGCCACAGCAAGATACTGGCTCAGACCATTCTGGTTTGGAGCCCAAGCCATGCAATGTGCCTTTTGGCCAATGTTTAACATCCAACCTTCCCGAACCCTTTTGGTCCTGGTTTCTGACTGGTCTGCTTTGGTGCTTGATTTCTCCCAGGCTTTTCCAAAGTCGAAAGACTCATGATAGCCTAGCTCGAAGACTTGTTGATTATCATGCGGGCCCAGTAAAATACCATGCTTTCGTACATCTGGTTGAGGGAGGTAATTTTGGTACGCCAGTGATCCTTCCATTGTATCAATGCGCTGTCTTTTCCGGAACCTCTCACCAGTGTCCCGCTTGTAATACCAGTCCCATCCACGGGTGCTTTCTTTGATAACATCATCTGGGTGAACCCCAAATGTGGGCCCGTACAGGTATTCAGGCTTCTTCTCCATATCCTCCAAGGTGAAGCGAGAGGGAAAGACCGCATCTACACCCTTGTTCCATCGCATTCGGAAGTGGACGGCTGGCATCAGATCTCGATCGTCGGAACCGAAGGTGAGATTGTAATAGACACCTTTTGACAAGTGATCTCTGGGCTCGATGATTCCACGAATGTGTGTATCTTCATCTGATGGCATAACTGTGCCATCGGCTCTTCGTTTCTTGATATTCGGATCGTATTGGTACGACACTGAACGCCCTGGACGCTCTTTCCTAGGAGTATTCTTGATGTCATCAATCTCCATTTCTTCGGGGTCAGAGGCATCAGCTTCTGATCCTAATTCCTCTTCTGGTTCGACTTCGGGGTCGTCTTCGAGGTCATCTTCTTCATCAATTCCCTCTTCGGCTTCTTCGCCTGAGCCAGCGACAAATTCATTATCTGAGGCCGAATCTTCCGTTTGGGCGCGCTTCTTTTTCCCTTTGGCAAGGATTTCCTGCTTGGTGGGGTCCTCGTCATCACTGATCCCGGCTGCCTTAAATGGATCATCAATGTAGACGGCCCTGGGGCCTTTGAAGCGTCCAGACCTGCGGCCGGAAGGCATGTTGTTTAGATAGTTCGCGTCGTCAACGATAGCCAATGACAACAGCAGTATGCATCCGCAAAGCGTGTCAAATCGTTTAAATCTCAGTAATGCGTTTTACTGAGCAAGATAGCTATGATCTTGTGTATTGAGACGTCCGTTATTTAATTTTGGTAATAGAGAAGCTTCAGCAATACACGAAGGGTCAAGGGCGGTGACACTAGTCTCAACATGGCTAGTTCTATTCCCTTGTATTTCAGGCACCAACAGATCAGTCGTTCATCTTAACCAACTCACTTTATCCTCATTTTGCCAATGAAACTTGTGATGTCTTTTCAGTGGTTCTCTCAGATATTCTTTAGATGTCCTTTCGGAGATATTTCCCCTTGATAGAGAACTAGGTATACGACAGAAAGAAAACGGTAACTAGTTAACTAGGAGGCTTGATTTGTGAAAACGACTTTGCCATGTATAACCTGGGATCAATCATACATTTCTCAGTAGCTTCAAATTTATCCAAATAGTTCAGCTGTTTGTGAGGTCACTCAAGATCAAAACTCACCCAATAGTCTACTTGGCCAAAATACCGTCCTGGTGTGACACCGGTCCCCTCAGTATCTCATACCACGATTCTCCAACGACTTGCACTACAACTCCATATCTAGATCATCTGGGGTGGTGTGTCAAAATATACATATACCACCTTCCTAACCCAGAGACTTGATGACCTCATATGCTACACACCAGTCTTAGAAGTTTTATGGCTTTGTGTCTTTGTAGACTAAGCTTATATCCAGTCCAACAGCTGTAACCCAGTCCAGAAACTGATATATCCACACTTTAATGATGGCGAAGTGACATCGCTGCGTAATCTGATCGCCATGACCATATGTTACTGCGTCATCGCACCAGAGACTGTGTCCAGGATGCCACAGCATGACTGGCCCCCATTGGTCTACGAGCAAAACTTGATAAATTGACAAATAATTGAGTGGAGTCAACATACATGGTATGTCATAGTATAAACAGAGAATGAGAATGGCTGACGCTCCTTATCTCAAAGCAATGGCCCAGTTAGGCTCTGGCTGTCATGCTATGAGCTCTCAAGAATCAGCTCTGAGAGAATCTCGTCCAGATGCCTATGAATCGTGAAGTGTGTATCGCCTTCGAACGCTGTGAAGAATGGGCTGTTAGAAAGACGCTTGACATAGTATTCCGTTATTCGAAGCGGCGAATTCCAATCTTTCCCAACATGCCAGATGTGGAGGTTGTTGTAAGTGATGTCGCCGAACTCAATGCCCCAGTCTTGTGACAATAGCTTCGCCTCGTATGCAGCAAGGCTAGCACTCTGTGCAAACGGCTTAAATAACACGCGCAGCAATTGAGCTCGTCGTTCCCCAACTGGTTCCTCGTGTTGATCCTGGTCCTTTAGCAGGTAGTCGTTGACTCGCCGGGTTGCCATTTGTGTATTCAACCCATTTCTAAACATCCACACGACAAATTTCAACGAACCTCATAGTCCAGCTGGCTAATGTTCTGCCGCTAGCATTGACGCACGATATATCCAAGGCATATGATGAGCCCCAGCCTTCCAGTCACCCGCTCCAGCAAATACACCGACTGCGGACATCATGTCTTAAGGGAGCGCCCGTGCGCACGCTAAAGCATAGGGCCCGCCGCCGGAGCTGCCCATGATTGCAAACCGAGAGAGGCTGAGATGGTGAGCCAATTCTTGAACATCGGCGGGCCAGTCCATGATGCGCCGGTTGGGTTGGACTGTGGAAAGACCGAAGCCTGGTCGCTCTGGGGCAATCACACGAATTCCGCGCTGGCGAAAGATATGGTCCAGGGCAGAGGCCTCAAAACGACATTGGGGATAGCCATGTATGAACATCAGCGGATACCCCGTTTCACGACCATATTTGGCATAGCCTAGGGTCCTCCCGTCCGGGAGCCGCATTGTTTGATCGAGCCGCGAGCTTATAGTTTCGATGTATCGACATTTTGTAGCCGGCTGTGTGCTTCTTGTAGAAAAACGTATTTTTGCGGTCGGCCACATGGTAGAAAAATGAGTGAAATCTCACATCTTGATGGGCACACGGGGTTTGAATACGAGATGCATCTTATATATCCTTGGCGGCCAAAAGTGAAGGCTAAGCCTAGACGTGTAGTATGCCGATAAACGGACTACTCCGTGTATGTCAGAGCAAATGACAGCGGCATAATCTACTTAAACTCATAATCAAAATGTTCAAGTTCATGAGATCAAAAGGACCAATGTAGGGCAAATATGGCCGACCCCACCTGCAAATCGAATACGTCAACTGCTGATCTCCCACCTTCATTCTTGACCTTATCAACCACCACACTTTGATCATGTCTTCACACGCTGGTCGCGGGGAGTCGTATAACGGCGTCCTCCACGAATATGTATATACTACGCTATTCATTCTTAATGCCAAGCTAACTGACACATGCAGGCTCCCAGACTTGTGGCCTTTGAGTTCACCCCACCAGCAGAGGGGATTAACAAGACAAACAGCCTTATCTTCGTGGGCGGACTGACAGATGGATTCGGTACTGTTCCCTATGTGTCCAAGCTATCCAAAGCTCTGGAAAACACCGAATGGTCGGTCTTTTCTGTGCTACTCTCATCCTCCTATGCCGGATGGGGAGTCGGAAGCCTTGATCGTGATGTAGAAGAACTCGGGCAATGTGTGCGATTCATTCGCGATCTCAAGGCGTCACGCCAACCCGGCGCACTGACAAAGGCTGCAAAGATTGCGATCATGGGTCATTCGACCGGAAGTCAGGATGTGCTCCACTACCTTTATTCGCCGAACCCCTTGCCGCACAAGGAGTTTGCTCATGGGCTTCAGCACATGGTCCGCCCTGAGCTCGATGGTGCTATTATGCAAGCACCTGCCTCTGATAGAGAGGGTCTGCAGGCTATTATCGATTCCTCTGAGCAGCCCGATGAGCTTAAGAAGGTCTACGATCAGCTTGTGGGCTTTGCCAAGGAGCAACCATACACAGCAGAGAAAAATGACACGATTCTCCCAATGAACCTGACTGCGAAGCTTTCGTATCCTTCCGACACGCCTCTCAGTGCCCGGAGATTCTTGAGTCTGGTCAGCCCTCAAAGCCCGGACGACCCATCTGATGACGATCTCTTCAGCTCCGACTTGAGTGATGAGCGTTTGCAAAAGACGTTTGGGATGGTGGGCACCCAGTCCATTATCAAATCGAAGCTATTGGTGTTGTATTCTGGTGAAGATGAGTATTGCCCGCATTGGGTGGACAAGGAAAAGCTGTTGCAGAGATGGCAGCAGGCCACCGAAGCGGGAGGCGCCCAGTGGGATGCGGAAAACAGCGCAGTCATTCCTGGGGCCAGCCACAATGTCCAGGACAAAGGTCAGCAGGAGCTCATTGATCGAGTTCTACGATACCTCCAGACCCTCTGAGCGCTGGAGGTTGATGATATTGAAGCATAGAAATAGCATAGAAATATGAAATCCAGAAGATAAGAGAACGTTGAATTGATATCGACAATAAACAGGTCATTCAAACACCACCCAAAAGTGCACGGATTCGGAATAACGGAGGTCAGAAAGGGGTATATCACAGCACGGGCAGGAGACAAGTCCAGACATGATACCATGCTGGACTTGAGGCAAAGATGAATCGTAGCATTGGGGCACCAAAGTCTCAATGGTAAGGCCCGATTTAGACCTTTACCCACAGGCTCATCACGCCCTTGAGGTACTCGACAATCTCGGATCCACCCAGCTTGCTCTCGCCGTACAGACGGTCGACAAAGGTGATCGGACACTCGGACACCTTGTAACCCATTGCCTTAGCACGGACCATCATCTCCATCTGGAAGCTGTAGCCCTTGCTCTCGGTCTTGAGGATAACCTTCTCCAGCACTGGCTTCTTGTACAGCCGGAAGCTACCAGTCAAGTCACTCACACCGGGCATCAGCATGACGTCCGCGATGAGGTTGGCAGTGCGCGAAGTGAACTTGCGGAACAAGTCCCAGCCGTAAACACCACCCTTGATATCTCCGCGGTTCGCATATCGGGTTCCGGTCACAATGTCGGCGTCGGTCTCTTCTTGAATTCGAATCATCTCGGGGATGAACTTGGGGTGGTGGCTGAAATCGGCATCCATGATGACAACATAGTTGCCGGTGGTATATTTCAAGCCGTGGACGTAAGCTGTACCCAGACCGAGTTTGCCCTGGCGAGGCTTGAGGATGATGTGTTCGGAGCCATAGAGTTTCTGGAGCTGCTTGGCGATCTCGAGGGTACCGTCAGGGGATCCGTCGTCAACAATAATAACCTCCCAATCCAGCTTCCTATAATTAAAAAAAAAACAGATGTTAGCCCCAGCACTCTTGGATTATATCAGTGTAAGCGCATACTCCTGGTTGAAAGTCCTCTGGATCAGCCAGATGATGATAGGGAGGTTCCTCCGCTCATTGTAGGTGGGAAGAATGACAGAGTACTTGTTCTTGGCCGCGCCCATTTTGAAACCCCACAAGTCAATTAGTAAAGTAAGGAGTGATAGAAGATCGGAGCGAAGATCATATAAAAAAAAAGAGAAAAGAAAAGAGTAGGGACCGTATGGCTGACAGCTTGTTGCATTCGGCAACGCCAGATCGCGGCCAAGTCGCCAGATCCGGCATCCACCGCCCTGGCAGAATCCGATAGCTTATCGGGTGTTTTGCTTCGACTTCCATTGAAATACTTCCAATGTTACGCAACTTTTCATTCTAATTGATCTCAAAAATACTTCAAAGGCTGTAGATATGAACTCACTACCAGACAAGCACATTCGGAATGTCTCCAGGTGTAAGTGCTCACTTTGTACCCTTCACACTTCGACTGTCCCTTACTGATTTCCTATGTAGCTTCTCGGCCCCGCAGCTCGACAAGAGGTCCTCTAGATGCATCAGATGAGTGAGCATTGTACCTTGCCTTCCACCGCTATATATTTTCTCTTACATGATCCAGCCCTCTTGCTCTCCCCGAAACACCCACCTCGCCTATCAAACACAAATCAATGCTTGCTGCCAACGACACCTTTTCTGGGGCATCCTTCTATGAGTTAGATCCGCTTGCGCCAGATGATCTACCTGAAACTATAGAAAAAGACCTCTCGTATTTACTCCGGCATAGCAACTTCCATACCCTCTCTCATCTTGACATCCCTCCGCCACTGCGATCCGAATTCCTTATCCTCAACCCAGGAGAACCTCTACCAACTTCTCTGGGCATCCTCGAAAAGCTGTTGGCTGAGGGTCGATTCCTCATTGCGGCACATTTTTCTGCTTCAATCTTGACCTCGTCTTTAATAACTCCGACGGAGATAAAGATCGTCTTCTCCCTTTTCTACACGCGCTTAGCCTGCTTGGATTTATCGGGCAATACAGTTCTCGCAGCACAGGAATCGAAAGCCCTGGAAGATTTGAGCTCGGCATTTTATTACATCGATCTCAAGCCTGGTTCAGCTGCAGTCGATGACGATAAAGACTCAGAACATGAACAAGAACATGCCCAAGATCCTCGTCATATTGTTCCATGGCCGCTTCGCGTACTGGCCGTGAGACTTCAAAGTATAGGCTTTGGTGATTCTCGCCGCAGCATTGGTGGACTGTATGAGATCGGCCAGGAAGCGCGCCGCGAGATCATGAGACCCGAAGCTACTGAAGCTGAGCGAGAATTGTGGAAACAGCGATTGGCAGATCTTGGGATTAGGAGCGTGAATGCGCTTATAGAGATGGGTGATTTCGACGCAGCCAGGAGATCACTTGATAGTCTCCGCGTACCTGGGCCAGAGTCAAACATCACGAAGTTGAGGAAAGCACTTTTGCTTTTGCGGATTGGTGATCTGGACGCAGCAAGCCAGGTATTTGGTGATGCTATTGAGACGAAAGAGGCTGCTTTATTGAAGCCTCTGATAAGCATGACAGATGGTCGCTTTGCCGATGCAGTGGCTGAGTGGCGTATTCTCGAGGAGGATAGGACAAGGACGGATGGGGCTCTGGTAGCTCAAAATCTGGCTGTGTGTCTTCTGTACATTGGACAACTGGATGAGGTATTTGATTCATATATCCCATACACCCATTGGAAGGGCGATTTGAAAGTATTGACTAATTTTTCCTAGTCTCGTCGCCTCCTTGAGGCCCAGGTCTCATCCAACCACTCGTTTGGTAGTTTGATATTCAATCTGTCGACGGTCTACGAGCTTTGTACCGACAGTGCAAATCACATGAAGGGACACTTGGCTGATATGTTGTCAAAACAGCCTGCCATCGGACAGACCAATTTAGATCGGCCAAACTCAGACCTGAAGTTATAACGGTTTAAATTGAAAACCACTTTGCCCTGGGGGCCATTGAATTCAATCTGTCTGTCTGCACATGATCTAAAAAATTAATTCATACTCCAGAACGATACCTGTCTGCTAATGATACGACGTTTTCCCAACCAACGCCATGCAATGAAACGAACGCCACTGAATGCTCTTGTCCAAAGAAAGTCTAGCCAGACCTAGTACTCAAACACTCGACGCGCTTGGTTCCGGCTTGGGAGGGGCCCTCTGCTTCAGTCGCTTGATAATAACCCTGTCACCTTCCCGCTCCCAGCGAAGCTTCTCTTGTTTCACCAATTTATCCCATGTCCAACTCTGTTCGTCGCCTGTACAGCCGCCCAAAATCCAACTGATGTGCACGCTGAGATAAGCACTACCCACGGCCTTGAGGGCGTGCCTGCGAACTCGGTCTGCAGCCCAGTTCATCACTGCGCGGATGTGAGAATCCACACTGTTGTGCAATTGCCAGAACGCCACCCAATTATCGTGCATCAAGGCAGCCAAAACCTTATCCACTGTCTGTGACTGATAGGAATGCTCTTTCCGCGCCCGGGAACGCAATTCAAATGCCGCTACCATATCTCCTTGCCGACAGGCATAATCGAGAATCAAGTATGTGACCAGTTCCTTGGCTTCTGCGCCGGGTAGTGGGTGGGATGTCTTGTGTAGTTTATCCAGAACGTATCGTAGAGAGGGGAAGTATGACGGCGGGTGATGGGCGAGAATAGACAAGCGAATGGAGAAGACATGAATCCGCTGTGAGAATTCAGCCGGTGTAGTTGTAGCTGTTGCTAGAACAGCTTCGCGCAGCTTCCGAAGAGAGAGCAGGAGTGTGGATAGCTCTGTTGATGGTGGCGGGACCCCCTTCTGTGCGGGGTTTATTTTCAAGGGCGACCGGGAAGCGGGCGGATTAGAAGTCGCATCATTTGAGGGACTTGTGGGAAGAGAGGCCAATGCTGCATCGAGGTCTTTTGAGTGGTGAGCACAAAATCGCATGTATCGATCAACTATGTTGTCGAAGTACTGCGTCTGAATCTTATGGTCCAACAATCTGCGAATGTTAGCATGTTAGCATTCGGGAGAGTGCAGGTCTCAAACGCACTTCTTATCCCCCTTTGAAACAAACCCAACATTTTCCAGGGAGTCAGATACTGGGCGTAAGCGACTCATCTTTTCCATGTGTTGACATGTGTTTTGACATAGTATGATCAACTGGCATTGGAGTTGATATAATGTTTGTCTTGTTTGTTTCCTCCCGAGGCTATCCCAACCCGGCGATTTCCCTTCGTTGCCCCAACTGCCCAACAGCTTCGGAATTTCTCTCTTTCGTTTTTATATTTAATTTCTGCTTTTTTCTCCTTTATTTTCCTTTTTTATAATCAAAAAAATTCATCAGCTGACTTATCTTGCATATACCATTGTTGGTCAACTTCAAAACATCCTGTAACTCATTGCATACTTGCATATTACATGTGATTATGTCTCGCCAGCGTCGCCATATTGAAGATCAGAAATTGTCGGTAGATAGTCAGCCTACGGGGATGGCTGCTATCGGGGAGGAGGCTCACAGCTTGGTAAATCGACTTCTTCATTGGGATGATCTACCCCACTGGCAACGCGACAACCATCACATCCATACTAGATATCGGCCCGCCTCGTCCTCGTTTTTAAGTTCATTTCAATCGCTGGGTTACGTTCACAATGAGACCGTCAACATCTACACCCACCTCTTACCAGCAGTGGTTTCTGTCCCCGCTGCATACTGGCTCTACCAGTCACTTTCTCTACGGTACCAGAGTGCGGCCGATTCTGATATTCTCGCTTTTGCCTGTTTCTTCGCGGGGGCTGCCTTCTGTCTTGGCATGTCCGCAACCTTTCACACAATATCGAATCATTCACCTGTGGTTGCACGCATTGGAAATTCACTTGACTATGTCGGTATCGTGGGACTCATTGTGGGAAGCTTTGTACCTAGTGTCTACTACGGATTTTACTGTGTACCCGCTCTACAGCACAGGTACTGGTCCATGATCTCTATCATTGGACTAGGCTGCGTGATTGTATCCATTTCTCCCCGGTTCCGCACACCACGATGGCGTCCATTCCGCGCCACCATGTTTGTTGGGATGGGCTTGTCTGCTGTATTCCCCGTACTCCATGGGATTAGCATCTTCGGGCTTGATCGCATGCAACAGCAGATTGGCTTGAACTGGCTCGTTTTCCAGGGCTTCTTGTATATACTTGGAGCCGGGATCTATGCGGCCCGAGTACCTGAGCGACTGATGCCCGGGAAATTCGACATTGTGGGGAGTTCGCATCAAATCTTCCACGTGCTAGTGGTCTGCGCAGCGGTAGCTCACCTGACAGGGCTGTTGAAGGCATTTGATTATCGGCACAGCGGGGTTGCCGAAACCTGTTAGATTCCACGCGGCTGAGTTGGGGTCTGGAGCGACACAAGACGTTAGACAACATACTCATGGAAATTCTTTCAAAGGAGGTAGCATGGAAATGTTCACGTTGTAGCGTATGTGGCACAGCTTATGTTCAAGAATCTCTCAAGGGTCAAAGGTCCCCCGCGGCCCTGCTGACGATGACTCGAATTAGTATGTGCAACGATGACACAATGACGAAGAAATGAAGCGGTGAGCGCATAATTCTATTGTAGAGACTAGATCTGGTCAGCCGATAATAAAAAAATGAGACCTTTTGCTTCTATTTTACATGGTTCCCAGCGTTGTCCATTCGAGGCTATTGTACTTGTGTCCCATTGGCGAGAGGAGCAGGGCCCCCAGCGGGATAACCTTGAGACCAACAGCCCTTGTTAGCAAAAGGCTCATCGGGTTCTTCAATAAGCCAGAAACTTAACGAAATTGACGTTTATGATGTTGCATCAGGGTGTGACAACTAACAAAAGGACCCCTAGCCGGTTTCTCTTGGGGGACTCTTTCTCATATCACGAGCAGTATTCGAAAATAGTGAATGCTGCCAATCAAAGCAATATCCCTCTTACCAGATCAGGTTGGATCAATTTTAGTGAATTCTTGAGGGAAGATGTATCATTTTAACCTCAGAATAACGGTTCCAGTTGGTCTCCCATGCGTGGTTGATCAGATGGAACTGGGGTTTCACAACGGCTGACCTCTGTATGCGGCTGTCATCGGTACTGAATTCGAATGCCAGAGTGACATTTCTACCCCCTGGAGCTTGAGCTTGTTCTTGATTGCGGGGGGTGTGAAGCATCTGGCTGGATATGTGTGGTATCATTGTATTGATCCTGGATTTCTATTTCTAACCTCGTTTCTTTTCTTTTTCCCCCCTTTTTTCTTTCTATATCCATATATCACCGAACTCCGGGCTATAGGTATTTGATATCGCATTGGGAGAGAGCCTACTAGCTTCTTTCGTATTTCCCCCTCCCCCCACACAACCAGCAACAGACAATGCTTGCAGAGTCCAATGGCAGCCCATATGCCGGCGGAGATGCACCTAAACTCCGAACTGCGTGTGAAAACTGCAGGCAATCCAAGGTGAAATGCAACCTGTCTGGCAAAAGTGTCTGTACTCGGTGCCTGCGTCACGGCCTACAGTGCCAATACGGATTTGCAAATCGATCTGGTAAACCAAAGGGTAGCAAAAACAGAGCTACCCTCCGCAAACTAGGGCAGTTGCAAGAAGAAAAGCCCACGATGCGTGGCTTCCGCAATAGTCGGCTTGTTGCCCCTGTGGCTGACATGGAACCGTTAGTTGGGAATAGCTACGGCAATCATATTCCCGACCCAGCAGTTGACAACGATGTAAGTTTTTTCTTCCGCTTACCAACTCGACAAGTTTTTAACAAGTTGCCGTCCTATAGGTCTGTTTGATATCCAATCAGCCGGGCTTCTGGGAAAGTCCCCGAAGCTTCGGCAACACAGCCCTAGAATCATCTGTCTGTCCTGGGCAGTTAACCACAGTTGAGAGCTCTCCATTCACAGACCTCGTGGATCCATGTCCTGCTCTCCCAGCCGGTCTGGGATATCCGCATACGCCAGTGACGCCGACATTTCTGTCCGGAGAAATGGCCGAAGGGATAGGCAGTCCATCTCTAGCTGGTTCTATGGCTTCGCCATATCAAATCTCACCATGCGAGTGTGTGGATATGCAGCTATTCCACATGAACCGGCTGAACCATCTACTCGCTGGGTCAATGCCCCTGCGGCTCGATCACAGCCTGCAGACAATCAAATGCGCATGCTGCGCCTGTCAGGTGTTCCTGCAGTGTAGTAAATGCGCCAAAGACAGCACAAATCTTTTGCTGACTATCTCGGTACTCAATCTCACTCTCCAGCTCTTTGAGTACTGGGTTTCGCGGGAGACATCTCGCGCTCCGCGCCCAGAACATGGGGTCGATATCCGCTACGGATACTATGAGATCTGCCACGAGGAAAATAGGCAGATACGCAACTTCTTACTCCGAGGTCTGTTGTTACGGTGTCGGGATGTATTGCTAGCTCTGAAAAGCACCGCTAGTGCTGTCGATGTTCAAATTCCCAAGTTAGGCGACCAGGAAGGTCCATCAGAACCGAAACTATCAGACGAGCACGCTAGTCAGAACTGGACTACTTCAGAGCATGTCAGCTTGCTTTCCGACTTGGATATCGGTATTCTAGGCGGCACATCCAGAAATGACGGCCTACTTCCTATCATCGCAGGTTATGAAGCCACTGTTTCGGCATTCTTACAGTCGACTTCATGGGGCGAGTGTATCTGTGGATCCGGACGAGTGATGCATGACGAGTCTCTTTGAATTATACCCACATATGTATGGGAGGTCAACTGTTTTCTGTGGCTGTACGCTAGGGAAGAATGTGGAGAGCGGAGAAGCCATAATTGGATTCACAAGCTGGACAGTAAACGCAGATCGGCTATAGTAACAGAAAATTGAAAATCAAATCGCCTATATACGATATACAACATAATAATTAACTACGATGTACTCCGTATACTAA